AGGTTTATTCCTATCGTGAAATAAGGCTCACCAAGTTCGCTTCGAGAACATGGAGGTCAAAGAATTTTAGGAAATTATTTTGTTATAGCGCTTCTCCTCCATGGTGAACAATCTATATCGTTTTGCTTTTTTTGAGATTTATTTAATTATATGCAGGATTGGTGATTGGACAAGTTTCGGCATTGACAGATGGAGTTTCCTGCTTATAGGAATTCGGATTTCAGGCATATCGGCCCAGAAACCTTCAGCCGCTTGAATCGGGACTCTTTTCGTTAATTAGTCTTCTGTCGTAATCTCCAATCGTCCATATATATCTATTGGCAACTAAAATAGTCCTTACCTGGAATTGCTGCTAAGGTTTTTTCAACCATGGGGATCAACCGTAAGGCCAATTTATTTTATTTGCTTATCGGAGTTGCATTTGGCCCGGAATGGAATTTGATATTTAGGCATTGCAGTCCTAAATGCTCAACCCCGGGTGATCAAGATGCCCACTTTTAAAATGTGTTTTAAATTTTTTAAATTCGATGGTTGAGATACTGCTACCTTGGAATACCTTAATTGGCTACCCATTAGTGGGAAGACTGCCAATTTTGACTTGTTGCGAGTTACTCAAGGCGGAGAATTTAGTGAGAAGACGTGATTTCAATGGGAAGTCAAGTTAGGGTGAGCAAAATATTGTCTTTTGATTTTAAACGACCCCAGATGCATTACCGTACAAAAGGAATAACATCCAGTAAAGAACTTTTCAATTGACTTTGAGTTTACAAAGAACCATATTAAGTTTTCGCACAGTTTTGGTTCAATTATATTTTTATATTTTTCCCCTAAGTGGAGTCAGTTTGGCAATCTATTCAAACTTTTAAATATGGCGATTATGGTACGAAGTACCGAAAACCTAGCTGCTATGACAGCGGAAGCGTCCGCCTGCTCTTGCGCAATTTGCTTGCAAGAAATGCCCAATGGAAATGATTGCTGGGTTACTCTTTGCAATCATGTCTTTCACAAGCCGTGTATCGAGCGTTGGGTAACAGACTCACCTGACTGTCCTGTTTGCCGTCAACGCGTAAATAAACGAGATTTACAACCCATCAATCCCGAGAGCCGGCCTAATGACAATACGGCCACTGCCACTGGTAGAAGGGACGCTCGCAATTCTGCGGGACAACAACGGTATAATACCCGAAGTTCGCGTAGATTGTATGAGGAAGTACACCAAACGGATATCCCTGAGCGGCGTGGAGAAAATGTCACG